AGCGCGAGGTCAACTTTGAGCTCTCCTGGTGCTGTCGCAGTCCTGCGCGAAGTAAAGGGGCATGAGAATTTCGACCCAGCAATTGACGTTCTGCATATAGAGCAACCAGGCACCCGGTGCAAAGATGCCCCGAGATGCCAGCCCAGCCAACTCACCAAGATCACCCATCTAATGTACCATACCTTCTCAACAGTATACGACAACGAGTTCATCGCCAAACACAAGGACTGCGAGCTCGTTCGACTGGCCACCAAACATGCTGACGAAATCAAGGTCACAGGATCACATCAGGAGAAGGCCAAGTGACGCCAATGCCGGAAGGAAGCCTGTGGTAAAGGTGAGCTGAATGTCAGTGATGGACCTTCCACATGCTGTGGGACGCGTCATTCCCCCACGCACAACGGCAGATATGAGGTGGACCAGATCGAGTACCCGTAGGGAGCGCTGAGCTGATTGGCAAATCGAATTCCGAACCCGTTTCAGAGAGCATGGCCTAATTGTACCTCAATATGCCTCTTGCTCTGGCTCTCATACTCATCACCCTAACCGATCTGCGCGTCTACGTAGTCGCACTTCAGAGCCACACAGCGGCGCCAACGCGCGGCCACAGACGGAAGCTCAACACACTCGCGAGATGGGCACAGGTCACGCCATCACACATCCATGATCCACCCATGCGTTGCGCATACAAGCTCGAAATACACAGCGACGCAGCGTTCCGAATGGAGCAGGAGGAGGGCGCCGACGCAGCACGAGCCCCACGAGAAATCACCGTCTTGCGCACGGGCATCGGAAATACGGATATTCACCAGGCGTTCGCTGGCAAGCGGACGCGTCATTTTTTGGACTGGCAGCGCGGGGTGCTCAAAACAGTTGCACGACGAAATTGCACAAGTGAGCTGACGGCCGCGATCAATTCAACAGATCACGGCCTCGCTGTGGCCAACATACTCCACATAGTATTCGAAGGACCTCGCGGCCCGGAAGTTCGAGCACGTCGCCAACGATCGCCGTCGCAGCTGCGAGACCTAAGCCTCGGGCAGACCCCCCACTACTCCCGCGCGCGCCCCGGCTTCGCGACCTCCTGAGCCCGGGCAATCTACTGGCCTTGAGTTGGGAATATACCCGTGGCATGATCGCGGATGGACTGACCAGGGCTTGCATCGATTTGCTTTTCGTCAGCGGCCACATACCCCGCGCACAGTCGCCCTCACGTCGGCTGGAAAGCTCACCGCGCCATCAGGGCACGAGCGCCAGCCGACCTCCGACAACTAACATATGGGCATGCGTCTGGGAACTGCGCGTGGTCCATTTTTCGGGAGCCCGCGGTCCTTCCTCATCCCCATTTTGACCGAAGGACTGCCACATGCGACGCGGCTGTTGGGGGGCGTGTTGTTGCGCGGCAGTTCGGGGGAGCATGCTGTCAGGAGTTTTGTCGCAGTGGTCAGCGGTCGCCGCGGCGCGAGCGCGGGCGAGCACGCGCGCGGACTCATTGGACGCGGAAGCGGCAGGGGGGCCAGGGAGAAGCGTTGACGACATTGCTGGAATTCGTCTTCATCGGCAGGCTTGTGCGCCGCCCGGCCGGAGCACGCTGGGCCGCCGCCGCGGTTCGCGCGCCGCCGGTCCCGCGCGCGGGCCCCCGACGCATGTCGCGGCGCGCTGGCGGCTACCCGCTGCCGCGCGCACATGCGTCGATTCTGTCGACGCGCCTCAGAGCGCGGCGCAAAAAAAAAAACAGGGCCGCCGTCGCTTCGTCGCTCGTGGGCCACGCGCTCGTCGGCCCGGTCATCCACGGAGGAAGTGGCCCCATGAGAAGACGGGCCACTCGCCGCTACGCCCGCGGGTCGAGCTGGGTCACGCGCTCGACCTTCCGACGCCCCTTCTCGCCTGGCATCTAGACGCGGCCCAACGCGCGGCCGGTTGTGGCCCATCTCCCCAGCAGGCCCCCCAGGGCGCCGCCGGCCGCCGAGCTGGTTTCGAATGCTTTACGTACAGCAGCTCAACGAGGCAAGGCGTGGCATTTCAAAACTAGACGTCGGCTCACGGCTGAGGCTCGACGGGCACCCGTTGGCCACCCGCGACGAAGCGCCCCTCGGCGCCTCGCGTCCAAGAGCCTGCCGCACGGCCACTAATGGCCGACGGCTATGTCACCGCGTGAATTGCCCTCCCTAGCACCTTTGGGCGAGCGCCCGCCGCGCGCGCCACCTCGTCGCCACCTTTTCCCGGAGGTCCAACCCCAGTCATTTGCAAGCGAGGCTGACGGCGACAAGTCCAAGACGGCTCGCGGCAAGTGCTGGAAACTGGTTCTAGCTCGCCCGTGCACCCGGCGCCCATCATGGCCGAGGACAAGATTCAGGGCGCCCATCGGCCCCCTCGAGCACGGTGTCAGGACAGCTGGCATGGGCAAGGACAGTAACATGAGCGAGCCAAAGCAAGAGGACGCTTCGAGGATATTGTGGAGTACGTACAAGTACTGCACGTTTGGGAGAAGGGGAAGCGTCGGCGCGCCAGCGCCGCCCTTCCGCGCGGCTGGCGCCGGCGAGGAGCCGCAGCAGCCCTCGCCCATGGGCAGTGCCGAGCTCGGCGCGCTCAGCGAGAAGATTAAGCATTGAGTTTGAGATCGGAGTGGTTCCCGCGGATCGTGACCGTGGCGAGCTTTGGAGCGATAGTGCCCCGATTCGCGCACATCTCTCAAGGTATATCTCCATCCATCACCTTCTCTCCCACTTACCAGGGCCAGGTCAATTCACGTCACTTCCACCTCGCCATCCACGCGACCCCGAGGCCATCACTGTGCCTATATCCCAGGACACACGCTCAGACCCCACGTCTGATGCCCGAGGTCACCACCATCATACGCAATGCAGCACGAGGAAACCTACACCATCATCATCTACACGCGTGAGCTCTTCTAGCGCCGCCCTTCATAGCACGAGCGAGCTCACCACTACAGCAGATGAGCCCGCGCTCCCCCCTACGCGTCCCGCGCCCGTGATGTCAAACAGCGACGGCGTTTCATTGTTGGGTCTAGAATGTGTTTGTGGTTGGACAGGTATGGTTCACTTCTTCCTTTGGACTCTCTTTTCCGCCAGAGCTTTTCGATCGTCCGCACAGTCCCGATTCAAATAGGAGGGGTCGCCGATGTTTGGCCCGAGCGTCGACACGGATCTACTTAACCGCCATGCGTTCTTTCGCACAACCTCCAAACCCCGCAATTCTAGTCCCGCCACCGCCTCGGCTAACGCCTTAGCTGTCCTTGCCCCCTGGGGTCTGTTCGTGCCTTACGCGTCGGTGCGCGTGACCCTGGGGCCCAGCCTTCAGGCCCGTCGGGGCCCGCTGGGCCCCTTCTGAACTTCATGACTTTTTTAGTCGTCCGACGGGTGCACTCTCGTACATATTACACGCCTGTGTGTTTCACTTGAATACCCACGAGTTTTACACGCATTACATACAAGAGCTTGCCGCACGCTGTTCAGTCCGCCTCGGCACAGCAGGGACAGGGAGAGATGCGGGCCCAGAGTCGTCTTTCATTCATTCATTCCCCTCCTCCTTTTCCTACGCCCGTCCCCAGCACCCCAGTCGCGCCGGGCGGGATGTTCCTGTCACTCCTGCCGTTCCCTCTCTTCCACCACCCGTTCCATCCTCATCCTGCCTGGTTCACTCGTGGAGGAGGAGAAGGAAGAAGAGGAGGGGGACCAGTGTAAACCCGAAAGTCATCAACGATGTTGGAATAAATAATCCTTTTAGGTTCCTTCTTATTAAGGCCCATACAACGGTTCATTTCCACTGAAGGAACTGCATCGTTGGAGGACAACCGTTTGAAGAGCCAAATGCATGCCAGAACGTTACTTTCGGGACTCCAATGCCACGGATCGATTTGACGGTTGCGTCTTGGCGATTTTGGATCGTGCCAGAACGCCGTTTTTGGGGACTTCAACAACGCGAGTCAACATAATTGTTGCACCCTCTTAATCCTGAACCCTTCCAGAACACAGTGTCTGGTACGCTGACCATGGGAATCCGCGAAAGCCTTGCAACTTTACAAACATGGATGCGCGCGGCGCTAAGGCGAAAACCACATGTTGAAAACCACCCGCCTTCAATCCGTGAAACTATTGCAGTTGTTTCTCTTTTATTTTGCAAAAATGCACGCAGCGCTAAGGCGAGAACTACAGTTTGAAAACGGCCCGCCCTCAGCCTGTGAACCCCCTGCATTTGAAAAAAAATGTGAGCGCTACCGCGAGAGACGCATGTTGAGAATCCGTGAAGCTCTTGCATTTCTCAAGGACGAAGGTGCGCGGCGCTAAGGCGAGAGCCACATTTGGAAAAACACCCGCCCTCATCTGTGAGATTGTTGTCAAACTTCAAGCTTCAGGGTCATAAATGGTAAGGGGATTTCGGGCGAAACGCCTGGCCTGCCCTTTCGGCCGGCCTTGGGGTGCAACAAGGAGAAGTTACTTCTAAGGAAAAGGAATGGAGGAGGAGGGGGAGGAGGAGCAGGAGGAGCAGGAAGAGGGGGGCGGCGGGGAGAAGGCCGAGGAAAGAGGAGGAGGAGGAGGAGGCATGGGAAGAGGAGGAATGAGAGCGACGAGGGGGGACGAGAGAGGGAGGAGGGGGGACGAGAGAGGGAGGAGGGGGAAGTGGGCGGAGGAAGAATGGCAGAGGAGGAGGAGGAGCAGCAGCAGGAGGAGGAAGAATCAGGCGATCGCAAACATGGATCACGGGGGCGTGGATTAGCGACGGGTTCCGTTTCCATGCGAAATCGCGGATCTCCGCCGCCGAACGAAGCGACACCGGCCGCATTTGGGGGAGGGCACCTCCCCCGATCCATGGATTTGGCGACCGCGCGCCAAATCCATGGATCGCTGATCCATGTTTGCGTACCCCCGAAAGAAGATGGAGTAGAAGGAGGAGGAGGAAGAGGAGGAGGAGGAGGAAGAGGTGAAGAAGAGGTGGAGGAGGAGAAGGATGAAGAGTAGAGGAAAGGGTTGCCCGCCCAGGGGGCGCGGCGGCGTCGCCCACGTGCCGAAGAAGCCGCGGCCGCTGGCACAGCCGACCGCGGAGCGCCTGGCGGGCCGAGCGCAGGAGTCGCCGGCCGCGGAGGCGAGGGGGGCTGGCCTCGCGCAGACGGGGGGGAGCAGGCGGAGCGGGGAGGGCCTCTTGGAAGCACCCCTGCTTCTTATATAGAAGGCGCGGGCCTGCTCCGTAGGGGTGGGGCGGGCGCCTTCTGAAAAGCAGCCTCCTTCCAAGAAGCCTTGCCCTCTCCACCTGCCTCCCTCTGCGCGCGGCCAAGGGGGGATCAGAGGCAACGAGATGGGGAAGACAGAGGCAGGACCGCCTACGATCCGAGTCGATACGGTTCAATTCGCCAGCTGGGCCCGCGGTTCCGGTTCGATTCGTATTTGGTTCGGTTCACCAGCATCGCTTTGGGCCAGCGCGTGCCGTGCGCGGGGATCTGATTCCGATTTGATTCGATTCGATTGCGATTCGATCCGTTTCCGATCCGATCCGGTCTCGTGATTCGATGTTGCTGAGGCCCGCAAAGACCGACAGATGCCGGCGGCGCGCACCAGGAGGGGGAGGGGGAGGGAGGGGGGGGGCGTCCCCGGTTCGAACCCCTTTCCTCCGTGGAGGGGGGGGGGCCTGGTTCGACCCCCCCCCCCCGTTTGCCCCTTTGCATCTCAGGAGGGGAGGCCCTTCCCCCCCGGTTCGACCCCACCCCCCCTCCCCTCTGGTTCGACCCCACCCCCCCTCCCCTCTGGTTCGACCCCCTCCCCCCTGGTTCGACCCCACCCCCCCTCCCCTCTGGTTCGATTCCCCCCCCCCCCCTCCCAGCGTCCGCCTCTTTCAAAGCGTCCCGCAGTGAGACGGGGAGGGCGCGGGCGGGAGGGCGGCCTTGCATACGAAGGCGGGGCGGGCGTCTTGCAAGGCAGCGGGGGGCCCCTGGCCTCTCGGACGGGCCCGGCGGCTTCTGAGCAGGTTCCTCGGCAGCCGGGGGGGGCGAGGGGGGGCGGCCTTATGAGAAGGCGGGGTCTCCTCCTCCTCCTCCTCCTCCTCCTCCTCCTCCTCCTCCTCCTCCTCCTCCAGGGGGCCTTGGTGGGGGAGGGCGAGGGTGGGCTTCTTACAAGGCAGGGGGGGGGCCTCTCAGAAGGGCCGGGCGGCCTCTGAGCAGGTTCCTCAGCGGCCGGGGGGGCTTCTAAGAGGGCATCTGCCCTCTCAGCAGCCTCCCCGCCGTTGAAGTCTCAGGATCGACGACGTCGGCGTCGCTCGAGGTTCGAGGTTCGAGGATACAGTCGACGACGTCGTCGTCGATCGAGATATCGAGGATCGACGTCATCATCGCCGTCGCCGACGTTTTCGGCGCTCCCTCGCAGCAGCCTCCCCGCCGTCTTGGAAGGGGCCGCCCGCCTCGCGCCGCCCACATCGTGCGCGCCGCCGGGGGGCTGCGTCTGCTCACGTGGAGGCGGGTCCCCTGTCAGTCGTCGCCGCGTCCGCGGTGTGACGGGGCCGCTGTCGGCTGCTGGACAGCATTCGCCCGTTGGGCATCGCCCTCCCATGCTTGGTCCCGTCACCGCTTCGAGAGCATAGCAAGTTGTTGGATGTCCGATGTTAGGTTGTTTTCTCCTCCTCCTCCCTCCTCCTCCCTCCTCCTCCTCCTCCTCCTCCTCCTCCTCCTCCTCCTCCTCCTCCTCCTCCTCCTCCTCTTCCCTCCTGTTCTACCTCCTCCCTCATCCCTCCTCCTTCCTCCTTCATCCCTCTCTCCTCTCTCAAGAGGGCCGCCGATGTTTCAACTGGCCCTCTTCGAGGAGCTTCGAGGATCGAGGTTTGAGGATCGAGGTCTAGGATCCAGGTTTCGGGCGGATTTTTTGTTGTGGTCAATCCCAGCGGTTTTTCTTCAATTCGACTTTCGGGGGTCTCAGTATCGTCGAACATGCACCTGAGACGGAAGACTGTCCTCTGAGAAGGAGTCCAGACGTTTGTGGCCCGCGGATTGAAGGACCACATCGTCGGATATCGGATGATCGAGACACGAGGGATCGGGACACGAGGTTCGAGGATCGGAGTCTTGGGACGTTTCTGAGCTTTCAGAGGCCTCCAAGGACCTTTGGAGACTTAAAAAGACACCCAGAGATCCACAGGGGGGGAGGGAGGGGGTTCGAGATTCGAGGATGAATGGTTTGCGCCCTCCTGGGCCTCCAGGGATGCTCCTGGTCACCGCGGCCGGATTCGTTTCCGAGATGCTGGGCAACGCGCACCCAATGCAGTCAATTGTTGCCGGACGGGCCCACTGCGAAGTGGCTCCCGTCAGAGCCGTGGGGGAAGAGGAGGAGGGCAGGAGGAAGAGGAGACCCCCAGCACTTCTGGTAAGTTTTCTGGGCCCCTTTCATTCCTTGCTCGAGCCTCGACCCACATCCGCGCAAAGCTTTCTCCCAGAGCTCTCTCATACCCCCCATGGCAAGTTGCTCGAGGCCTTGGCATCGCTCGGACGTGTGCACTTTTTCGGCGAGAACCATCGAGGAGCACAGAGGAGCAGATGGCGAAAAAAAATGCCCGCAGGATATCGACAAATGCACGGAGAATGGACGTCCGAGCGATGGCGCGAGGTGCGCCCGGCCGTGGCGGCGAGACTACGCAAGAGTCTTCAAAAGCTTGCGGACGCTGGCGACGACGGCGGCGGCGACGACGGCGGCGACGGCAGGCTGGAGCACCACGAGAGAGAAAGCAGCAGGAGGGGGGCCCAGGAGCAGAACACGTGGCGAAACCAGGCAGGCAGATCGGGCGGGCAGACCCTCGCGGGCGGGTTGGAAAGGCGGGCCTGGGCGGCCAGGTCGAGCAGGCGGGTGGAAGCGCGAGTCCTGCGCGAATCGAGAGGAAGTCTCGAGCGATAGCGCGATTCCCAAGTACATCGTGGGCGACGGCGGCTCTCGGGCGGGGCTAAGACCAAGATAAATCCGCTCCAAAGCGTTCCAGAACGCTCTGAGAAAACCGCGGCGCTTGACACATCCTCCAGAGCCACGGGATCTCAGAGATGCTCGATTCATCCTCGCCCGATTCTCTCGCCCGATTCTATCCTCGTCCTGGCTTCGTCCTCTAGGCATCACTCGGACACGTGCGTCTTTTCTCCGCACAGATCATCGAGGATAATTGTTGCTCACACTACTGAAAAGTACATGGACGACAAACACACTCTAGGCCGTAACGCGCGTTACGCCCCTCCCCTCCCATCCCCCCCCATAGCGTAACGCTCCCCCCCCCGTGCGCCCCCGGCACTGCCGCAGTGCGTCTGGCACCACATTCGGGGGCGGTGTTACGCTATGCCCCCCCCATTCCCCTCCCATGACGACCGTTACCGCCGCCAATTCAAAGAGGCGCTCTAACATGTGCAGGGAGGGTCGTCCGAGCAGTGGCTTCGCCTGCAGCTCCCTCCCGAGGAGGAGTTGCAGGAGGTGCCCGAGGAGAGGGAGGAGGAGGAGGAAAAGGACAAGGAGGAGGAGGAGGAGGAAAAGGAAAAGGAGGAGGAGGAGGAAAAGGAAAAGGAAAAGGAAAAAGGAGGAGGAGGAGGAGGAGGAGGAGGAGGAGGAGGAGGAGGAGAGAGGAGAGAGGAGGAGGAGGAGGAGGAGGAGGAGGAGGAGGAGGAGGAGGAGGAGGAGGCGAGGCGCTCAACAATGCACCGGGAAGGGCCGTCCGAGCGGCGGCTCCACCTTTGAGCTCCCTCCGTCTAGAGCTGCCGACCGCTGGTTTCGCCGACGGCTGGTTTCGCCGGTTTTCCCGCCCGGCGAAACCAGCTCCGTCGGCGAAACCAGCTCCCGTCGGCGAAACCAGCTCCGTCGGCGAAACCAGCTGCCGTCGGCGAAACCAGCTGCCGTCGGCGAAACCAATTGCCGTCGGCGAAACTGCCCGGCCCGACCCGCCCGTTGGGGGTCCGCCCGCCCGACCCGACCCCACCCGCCCGCAAGGGCCCGCCCGCCGACCCCACCCGCCCGTTCGGGTTCGCGCGCGCTCGGTCGCGCGCGCCCCACACTGATGTCCCGCCCGCCCGATCCGACCCGCCCGTCAGGGTCCGCCAGCCCGACCCGACCCGACCCGCCCGTTCGGGGCCGCCCGCCCGACCCGACCCGCCCGTCAGGGCTCGCGCCGGCGAAACCAGCCGTCGGCGAAACCAGCCGCCGGCGAAACCAGCCGCCGGCGAAACCAGCCGCTGGCGAAACCAGCGCCAGCGAAACCAGCCGCCGGCGAAACCAGTTCATGCCCTGTCGGGAGCCTTGAGACGGGGGTCAGTGCAAACGGGGGTCAGCCACGGCACCGGATCCTGCAGGATCCTGCGAAGACCCCCTCTGGCTGACCCGGGTTAGCGAGCCGCTCGTGGCCGCGAGGCGGCCGCACATAGTGGCTGACCTGGGTTTGCGAAGACCTGCGTTGCAGTTTTTATTTCCTGCATTGCAGTTTCTGGTTTCCTGCTGACCCGGGTCTGGATTGACCCGGGTCAGAAGATCCCCGACCCTGGAGCTCCCTCCCGAGGCCGGCGCGGCCGCGCGGGCGCGGCAGTGCCGGCCGCGCGAGGCGGCGGGGAGCCCGCGGCTCCTCGGTTCGCGCGAGAGGCGCGGCGGGCCCGCGGCGCCCCTCGTGGGGGCCGGCTGCGCCCTCCCTCGCTTTACCACTCCCTCCCTCCCTCCCTCCCTCCCTCCCGTCCCTCCCTCCCTCCCCTCGTCCCTCCCTCCCCCCGTCCCTCCGTCCTTCCCTCCCTCCTTCCCTACCCCCCCCCTCCCCTCCTCCCTCCCTCCCCCCCTCCTTTCCTCCCTCCCTCCCCCTCTCCCTCCCTCCTTCCCTCCCTCTCTCTCTCTCTCCCTGGCGGGGGCTCGCCAGAGGGGCCACTGGTCTCACCAGCCTGGAACATCGGAGAAGGAAAAGGTACGACCACCCCGCTACCCTTCCCTCGTGTTCCCCTTCGGGGGCCTCCTGGGAGGCCCTCGTCGTCACCGCTGGATTCGCCTCGGAATCC